CTTGTGTGGTGTACTGTGAATATGACTCAATGATTGATATTGATAAACATCGAAACATACGTGTTCTTCTGTAAAAATGAATTCATTGCAAAAACAAAAACAATTTTTATAGGAGTTTATCCCTCTGATAGGCTCCCAAAAGTAATTATCCTGCTCCTCCTGTTTTTCCTCCAAAAATATCCTGCTTTAATAATAGCTAACACAGATCTTTAAACCGTCCAGGAACGCATTGGGTTGCATTTTACTTTGATAGTGAGCATTCAGCTGAATTTTTTTAATCGTATGGTCAATATCCTCAGAAGAAAGAATTTTTAAAATTATTAAGGAATAATTCATTAAAGTTTACATTCAATAAACAACTACTTCAAGGATATTTTTCAAGTACATGTGGTCATTACTGTATCCTATATGGAATTTTTAAAAGCAAAAAGAAAACATTAAATTTTTGTTTAAAACAATTTAAGAAAAATGATTTTAATTATAATGATAAGCTAATAATGCAAATTTTAAAAAAATTAGTTTAAAAGTAAAAATAAAAAAACAACGCATTTATATTTTCAAGTAAATATTTTATTTTTTGGAGTGGGATTCATTCTTTTATTTAATCTATAATATTTAAGCATGAGGTATATAGCTTGGGCTTTTTTTGCCGGTAACGTATGACAAAGACATGTGTCAGGTCCATCGGTAGCATCGTCGACGCTTCAGGGGCACAGCTTATAGTGAAACCCGAACTTGGAGTATTGGAGCTCCTTTTCCTCCAGATCCTCCAAAATAACCATGAGGTTTTCCAGGATTTTCAAATGCTCATCGAAAATCATCTCTTCGAATTGAACAAGAACAAGAAGGGACGTGTGAGACGCTTCTTCCGTACTACATTTGCACCTTAGCGGTGTTTTGTCAAATTGTACATTTTTTCTTCAACTGTCATCTACATCTACAACACTTCTCACACCAACACGCTCCTTTATCTCGCCGCCCTTCCCTAGACACACACTCGGCAGAGGAGGGCAGAGACAGAGGCCTAGTGAAGCAGAAGCAGAGTGTGAATGAGAGAATGTGAAAAGAACAACAAAAGCTGCGGGACAGGATGGGTTTAGCCACTGCAAATTAATTTCTTCATTCTGGCTCCATAATAAGGATCCAATCCAATCCCAACTTGGTGATCTGATAGATATGGTCATTCCCTACGGAATGGCGTTTTTAGTTTTCTTTTATTTTTAAAATTGTAGGTTTGGGAGGTTTTCGCCCTTTTGCGGGGGCGGAAGGGGCTTGGCAATGGTTTCAGTGTGAGCATACAGCAGTCTGGATGCAAAATTTGGTGGCTCTAGCTCTTATAGTCTCTGAGAACTAGCCGACAAACAAGACGGACAGACGGACGGGCGGACAGACACACATGGTTCTATCGACTCGGCTATTGGTGCTGATCAAGAATATATATACTTTATGGGTCGGAAACGCTTCCTTCTGTACGTTACCCTATTTACTCTTCGAGTACCGGGTATAAAAAGTTGTATTTCATGGACGTGCATGATTCAGCTGGCTTCTTGTAACTGATGCTGATGATCGTTCAAGGAGGTTCTTTTATATCCAAGACTTTACTTCTTCATAATCAGGATTTTTGTTTTCATAAATATTGTAAATAAACCGTGCTATACCATTTATCTCTTTCTAACTCGCAAATGTATTTATGTTTTTACCTGTTTTCTTATTTTTTATTTACATGAATATCTAGTTGTCTCTTTTCTCTTATGTATAAGAAAGGCCATCCATTGAATTCTTTATTTATTCATTACATACAAATTGGAAATGGGGAGTGCCATATCTAGTCATCTCTTTTCCTTTTATATAAGATGTGAAATTCCATGCACCGTTAAAGGGTGCTTTTGTGGAAAATTTGGTTACATAACATTTAGGTAAAAATATCCATAACCTTTGTTCCAAATTATGTTTTTTTTTAAGTTTACATCCATTGATCTTTTAGGCAAATCCTATACATAGATCTTCAACCTTGGTGTATCCAATCGCCGGTTTTATCTCGTTAAGTGTTTCTAGGAACGCCTATGCATGTACATGTTTAATGAAGTTTTGTTTATCCTTTTATATATCAAAAAAAAAACAATGCTTACATACCATTATAAAATTGAAAAAATTCAAACTACACAATGTTTTATACTAAATTATTTAATCATAATTACAAGATCTTTTATACTCTAAATCGTCTTTACTTCTAAAATGAGATCTATGCTGATTGGTTGTTGCGTTAGGTATATAGTTGTAATCATGTAAAAGCCAGATGTGAGAAAAGGATTTCAAATATTATATTTTCTGTCTTTATATACATACATACATACATACATGTATTGGTATGTACATAAACCATTCAAATGAAAACATTATATATAAAAATGGACCGTATGCTAGGTTTTTTACATTTAACATATGCTCATACATAACTCGAAACCCTATATTAGAACATCTAACTCTTAAGATACTTTAGTTCATTTGCTATTCGAAATTAATGAATTTCATTGCGAGTTGTGTTATATGAAAATAAGTTTTAGGTCCCGCAATGGACTGAAACATCACGAATTAAATATTCACAACTTCAGTTATCAAAAATCAAAATCATAATTTTACCAATGTTACTTATGTCCCGGCGCAATAAAGTTTTGGCTGAGATTTGACTTCAATATGCATGTTTTAATAAAGCATAACNGATCGTGCAAGGAGGTTTTGTTATATCCAAGACTTTACTTCTTCATAACCAGGATATTTGTTTTCAGAATATAGTAAATAAACCGTGCTATACCATTTATCTCTTTCTAACTCGCAAATGTATTTATGTTTTTACCTGTTTTCTTATTTTTTATTTACATGAATATCTAGTTGTCTCTTTTCTCTTATGTATAAGAAAGGCCATCCATTGAATTCTTTATTTATTCATTACATACAAATTGGAAATGGGGAGTGCCATATCTAGTCATCTCTTTTCCTTTTATATAAGATGTGAAATTCCATGCTCCGTTAAAGGGTGCTTTTGTGGAAAATTTGGTTACATAACATTTAGGTAAAAATATCCATAACCTTTGTTCCAAATTATGTTTTTTTTAAGTTTACATCCATTGATCTTTTAGGCAAATCCTATACATAGATCTTCAACCTTGGTGTATCCAATCGCCGGTTTTATCTCGTTAAGTGTTTCTAGGAACGCCTATGCATGTACATGTTTAATGAAGTTTTGTTTATCCATTTATATATCAAAAAAAAAAACAATGCTTACATACCATTATAAAATTGAAAAAATTCAAACTACACAATGTTTTATACTAAATTATTTAATCATAATTACAAGATCTTTTATACTCTAAATCGTCTTTACTTCTAAAATGAGATCTATGCTGATTGGTTGTTGCGTTAGGTATATAGTTGTAATCATGTAAAAGCCAGATGTGAGAAAAGGATTTCAAATATTATATTTTCTGTCTTTATATACATACATACATACATACATGTATTGGTATGTACATAAACCATTCAAATGAAAACATTATATATAAAAATGGACCGTATGCTAGGTTTTTTACATTTAACATATGCTCATACATAACTCGAAACCCTATATTAGAACATCTAACTCTTAAGATACTTTAGTTCATTTGCTATTCGAAATTAATGAATTTCATTGCGAGTTGTGTTATATGAAAATAAGTTTTAGGTCCCGCAATGGACTGAAACATCACGAATTAAATATTCACAACTTCAGTTATCAAAAATCAAAATCATAATTTTACCAATGTTACTTATGTCCCGGCGCAATAAAGTTTTGGCTGAGATTTGACTTCAATATGCATGTTTTAATAAAGCATAACGAATATTTAAATAAATTACACAATAAATTAAATATTAAGAAATAAAATAAATATGTACATTTCACTTGACTTGTAACATATAACGTAGGTGGGTATATGTTGACACCACGAGCTGATGGTATTGTAGCGACCAGAGGAGCACGCGCTTGTTCCGGCTCTGCTGTCGTCGGCTGGGAGGGGGTTAAAAAAGACCACTGTGCTACCTGCTCGCTTTGTATATACATAATTACATTAAAATTCGCGTGCTGGTTTAGGCCAAATACAGGTTCGATCGGACAGACAGAAAGGATAGGAAAACACATAAAATTGACTAGTTATGACACTGCAAGATGTTGTTGCAAAAGCCGAGTTGGTTTTAGCTGTTCCAGCTGCACTGGTGTTGCTACGACAGCTGATTGCCCATCCTACCATGATCATCTTAGCCGCAAGACCTAAAGAGAGGCCGATGATCCCTTGAACGAACTAACACTCTACCCTACTTCCATACTACGTCGAGACATGACACCCCCAATCCGAACAACTAGAACATATTGAAATTCAAATGAAAACTTATTTATTATAACAGAATGCTCATAGCAAAAAAAACGTAAATAAAAGGGAATTTAAGCGTACTTCAAGGTTATCACAAAAAAAAAGGTTTAGGAAAAAACAGAAAATAGGTAAAAATAATATATGTATAAATAAAGAAAATAATAAATGGTTTGAAAGTAATAAAATTTAAATTCACATAAGTATATGTCGAAAAAAATGGTTAAAACTATATTAGTGCGCTCACTCTCCTTCCCCATTCCCTCTCTTATAATCTTTGTGACATGCAATAAAAGTAATTTGCTTTCCACTTACGTGCATATCTCGGAACCTTCCATCTCCAAAAGCGCTTTTTTCGAGAAAGAAAGCACAAACACAAAATCTAAGTAGAAGAGCTAATATTTTTTTTCTTCGCTCTCGCAATCTTCGTCTTCTCTCTCTTCAATGCTCGCATATTTTCGGCTCTCAACGCCACTGTGGTGAATACCAGACCATATTAGAAGAGAAAGACATGCACGAAGAACAAAAAGGGAAGAGGAACGTCGATTGCACCAATTAACGGCGTTTTCTAATGCTCCACACAATATTACAATTTTTAACCACTTTTATGTGACTTTTACATTCCTCCGTAATCACTTAATATTTCATGTTTCACTTAACACTACCAAACTTATTTTACACTTAGGCTAGGGTGGGACAAAAAAAGCCAGAGATATGTATACAAAAGTTTAACGAACGGTTATTTAACCGACATTTCCCGATTAGAAAATCGAGGCTTCCCCGTCTAGACGGTGGCTTCGGAGGTGCGAATTAAACTACTTCTCGTCCAATTGCAGCGGCTTCTCTTGGCTTTAGGTGCGCCTAATAGCGGCGAATTCCCGACCGCTGGGAGCGGAATCAATTATTAATTATTCGGCACTGCCGTAGACAAAACAGCTGTTTTTGTTTGTTGCTTTTCTACTCGGCGAATTGAGTGATTTTATTGCCTTTAATGCACGGCTTTGGTTCAAGGGTGAATGAACTTGTAGCTTCAATGTAAAAGATTTGCACTAAGTACTAAGTGCCAATCTGCACTTGCAAAAACGGAAAACAAAAGGAAAAGAGAGAAGAAAAAAAATGTTGATTCTACCGTATCACAATTTTCTGCTTAACAAAAAAAAACACGAACAAGAATGTATGGCTTACCGCTTATTTGCGTTTGGCACTTTTTTGATATTCTAAGCGGCTCAGCGGCGGCTGTATTTCTCTTCAGGTATTTTCTGAATATCTTTGATGTTAAAAGTCGGCGCCAAATTCGAGAAGCGTGATTTTGAACCCAAACCAGACTCTTCGCTGAACTAGCTGAGTGCAGGTCTTAACTTTTCTGGCACCGTAATCGACTTGAAGGAAGTGTGGGGCCAATTGTCGCTTTCACCCTCATGCGGTAAAGGTTTTACAATTGTACTAATGTTTATTTGGAGAGAAGTGGACCCACTTCTACCACCTTGTATCGTCGATCAGCTGATGTACCATACCGGAGCTAGCAAAAATTTACGAAAGTCAAAGGCATACTTTCGGCCTCTAACAAAAAAAGTCTAACCCAAAAACAAGCGTCACTGCAGACTTTTCATGATGTTTTAATATGATGTGAAATTCAACCAATACATTCAATAGTATCGGCATTCTACCTAAAATCTACTTATTTTTTTGTGTAATCTTCCCTTAGAAAAAACCATGTTGGAAACGAATCCTATGAGTCTCTTGGTGGAGTGAAATTTCACCAATCAAAGTAAAAAAAAACTAGCCATTGAAAATAAATATTGTTTTAAATTTATATTGTATTTATTATATATTATTTGTAGAAAAATACATAAATTAATTGTATTAAACATAAATAAGAATATTATTAAAATTACGTCTCGGCTCTTTCTAGCGCAGTTATTAATTCGGCATAATCTTCGTCGAGAAGAAGTTCCTGGAATCGTTTTCTGTCCCCTTCGTCATTTTCATAGACTAAATCGAATAAACTGTCATCATCCGGGAAGTTGAATGTTTAAATTTCGTCAATCGGAGCGCAGGCAGTAGGTCATCGAGACTATCATCCCATACAATATCACTTAAGACGTTCCATTGCATTATATATTCTTGCGTTTTAATTCTGAATATCAGCGAAAGGTCCAAGGAGTCGGGCTGGGTGTCCAGATCTAGAGTTGTTTCAGGTTGCGAGTTTATAAAAATAATTTCGAGGTCATCCATCTTCGTTTAGAATCCACTAGTTAATGAGAAGGCTTGTAGCTGTGAGTAGCTCTAATATGGGCATTTAACTATAGGACAGTGCTAGGCATACAAATTATTAAGTTTCTCCAAGGTACTGTGGCTTCGGCCAAAGGAATTGAGAGACGAATTTAGTGTTTAGATATTTATTGCCGGCACTTCAGGCTCGGTCGAAAATGAGTGTAAAACTAAAGTAAAAAAGTATGAATTTTAATAGGTACGCCGCGGACGGCTCCATCGCTTGAGCAGCGCTGCCCGCCAGCGCTCTCCGATTCCGCCGCGTCAGCTCCACGTGCAGACGTTCTTGGCGGATGTTTATGCAACGGACGAAATATGATGCCAGTTCAACTCGATGCCCGTCCACTCCAGCGCTGTATCAGCATTCTAACAAAGTAAGAACATTGCCGTTGGTGGGGAGTGTTAACTACTCCCCCTCTACAAGAGTGGTCGCCCTCGAACCTCTCAAGTTCTCAATCATTGCGTTGACCAGGACCAACTTCCTTTTCCTCTTGAATAGGGCTCTTAGATAAAAGATGATGCCGATGACTCGTGTCTGCCGATGAGGATGAGGTTACCATTCCTACCCCAAGTAGAACGGGTAACACCAAGCGAGTTAGAGGAACTACATCAACGCTAACAGGGGCGACTCGACCACATCCTTACCATCTGAGTCCTGGAACACCACGAGGCACTACAAGTACCGTCCGTGGCTCCGCTACTGCCCTTGGACTACGAACCTATTGTCACGATTTCGAAAACGGGAGCCGTTAACAATGGCAAAGTCGTCAATGGCGACTAATTGCGTCCCGGAGGTTTCAACCAACGTATCGTAGTCACATCGGATCAAGGCAGGTCTGTTGTTGATGATGATGACCCCATCGTCCACGAGGGTGATGGGCTCCAGGTGGCTGGGTTGAGAGTGACAATGCGCAGGGCCTCCGGAGTGTAGCCCTTGCGCGCAGGAGCCCTCCGATTCCCTTCTGCAGAACGGGGTGATAGTAGCAGTGGTGCAGCCCGTAACGGCCCACACCTGGCTTCCGCACTCAGCCACGACGTTGTCCTTAAGTTGCAGTATGGTACCGTTGTGCCCAACCGGGAATAGCGTGACTTTCTTACAAGCTAAAATTACTCTAGGGTACCCAATAATAAAATGTATAATGTTATTTGATTGTAAGACCTTGATACTGGATACTTCTAGTAGATTTGAAATTGTGACTCCTGTGAATTGTTTAGCGAGGATGGTTTCTATGTCAGCATGGTCAAGTACAGAAGGGCTTACCAAGTTGGCTTTGGCCAAGGTGATTGTGAGCATTAAATTACCTAATTCTGTGATAAGAATTCTATTTCTGGCTAATAATGTTTCGTACAAGTGGGCAGTGTTGATGTGTTTCCTTTTTTCTATGCTAAGAATCTTATAAGTACCACCACAATTATCTTTCTTAAATCTAACCGGTACAACTATTTAAGGTTGTCCTTATGGACCACCCTCCCTCTAATCAGGACTGTTGTCCCCAAGTCCGCCTCCACCGCTTCTTCCACGTAAAGCGGAGTCAACTTGTTCCCGAGACATCTGTTAGATTTTACCAACACCTTTTCCCCTACCCTAAACACTCTGTTTTGTCGTGTCTGGTTAACTCGGTTGTTTTGCATAATCTGAGCTTTTTGAACCTTATTCTGTATTTCCCTGCAGGCAACTGCGACAGCACAGTGAAAAATGTCTACTGGCCTTTTATTGGTGACCGAATGTAATGACCTGTTGTACTCTACAGTTCCTGTTTCCCAGGGTGTCTGTCATACTTTGATCGGGAGCAGATCTTACAGTTCATGACTACCTCGCTTGCCAGTTTAGTCATTTTGGGAAAATAGTAATCGGTCAAAACGGTGTTTTACACTTTCCTGAGCGACTCTATGAGCTCGATTGTGTTCTACCGTGATGATTTCT